CGGGATAGTCTCTTGTTTGTCCGAAAATGCCCTGAGAGCAGCGACAGCAGTGCAAGGATGGTTGTGCTAGGGACATCTCCTCGGCTGCGCATTGCATGTCGGTCTGCACCGTCAGGGGGTCCGCCGGCCTTTCACCTTGGTAGGCTTCCCCTTCTTCGACCTCCGACCTTAACATGGGATGCCGTTCTAAGGGAGGGATTGCGATCAAGTGTGTGCAGTATGGATGTACATGCAAAACTGGAATCAGTGGTTAGGGGTAAAAGGAAGCGAGAGGCCTTTTCACGGCCTGAGGTGCAGTGTTTGCAGCGCACTGGGCTGTCCCACCGTTTCTGAGCTCCACCTTCGTTGTTGCCTTGGGCAAGGTGAGGGTTTCAAAACAATGTGTAGGTATGGGATGTCATCTACAGCAATGTCCTATAGGAGCCTTATTGCTTCACCAGTTTAGGCCGCACGCTACCGCGCGCATGAAACGGAAGGTCCGGATGAGACAGGACAGCCGATAAAGCGTTAGATTCACCGCTAAACATTGAGTTGCTTCGTAAAATGCGTTAGCTGACCGCTCCATAGGCTGCTCATCTTTGCAGAAGCTCACCGTTTGATACGCGCAGTGGAGTGCGGAGCTAAAGTGGTGTCTGTAAACAACCACCATGCATCGAATGCCAGTGTAATTTAGCGGTCGGTTTGTGTGTGATGTTAACAACCTTCGTTATCGTACAGTCGATATCCGAAAGTTGGGGTAGGTGTGTCACCGGAAGTGACGTGCACTTGATAGAAGTTGCGTGGATAAGCTGTTGCCAGCATGCTTTGCTGATATCCAGCGATGTATGTTGGAAGCAGCTTATCCACATAGCTTCTATCAAGTGCACGTCACTTCCGGTGACACGCCTACCCCAACTCTCGGATATCGAGTATACTTCTCCGAACATCCACCATACATTTTTAGGAACTCTGGGGAGCATAGCGGTCCAGTGGTATTTCGGGCTGATGATAACAACGCAAATGAAAGAATATTGAAATGAAATGCTTTATCTAAGTCTGGTTTTGAGTGACCTCTATATTCTTGCGCATATCGTTATTATCGGATCCTTATCAGTCGTTGTTACTTTGAGTCCCCTATCAAGTTAGTGGTTGATCAGACCCTTACCTGAAGTGTGTAGCGGTATTTTAGGAGATACAGAACAAGTTTAGACTATACATATTTATTACTTAATAGAAGAATATAAGATAAGGGAGAGAGGGGAATAAGGGGAGTGAGTGACGGCGGCCTGCTGACGACTGGCGAGCCTCTTGCTCGCGACCAACGGGTGCCAGCTGCTGTGCTTCGGCACCGTAATCCGGGCGCCGTGGGTGGCACCTTTTCCATCCAAGGCAAGGATGTGACATCTCCATTCCTTAGAGTGAGCTCGTCCTCGAGCTCTAAGCATAGTTCCATTCCAATATCCCTCGAATGACTTTGAGGTAGCGAACATGTTGAATGATACAAATGACAATAAAGATAAATGCAGGTGAGGTCAGAGAGCCATCTGGATCTGATGACGACTACGTCTTCCCTCACAACAGCGTTGTCATTCAACAACACTGGAACATATACTGTTGTAAACAAAAGGATGAATTCGATCACAATACTTGCGATGTGATGATAGCCTTCGGCTATGGGCGTAGGTACAGGTAAATGAAGAAAAAACAGACAATGTCACTTTGAGTGGCACTCACTCACTCCTTCAAAAGGAAGCTCGTCCTCGAGCTTTATAGGTTTACAACAGAGATTGGAATAGACCGTACAAGGCGGTTCCCTGTTGTAAAGGTGATGAGAAAAAAGGAAATATGAAGATAAACAAACATAACAAGAGATTGTTCTACTTTACAACTTATTTTTACATTCAAGAAATACTGTTAAATCAGAGGTAATTTTACTTTCGCATTTTCCTAATTAAAGAACATCGAAAACTATCTCTATGAGTTATATAATTCGTTAGTAAAGGAAATCAAAATGCATGTATAGTCTTTTTGAGAAAGTTTGTTCTTTGAGCTGTTATATATTTGCATCAATAATATAAAAATTATTACAAACCATGATCTTTAGTACAATCTTATGATTGTTGACCAGGATGAAAACATTTAATAGATGGTACATATACGAGTACTAGTGTTTTTAATCGAAATATAGCGACTAGTACAAGGGCGTGTCTTCTTTCTTTTGATTTATAGTTTTTTTTGTGCTGCCTTAGTTATACTTTTTGGACCGCCGATTCAAAGAGTACTTGTTCGTTGGTTTCGCGGCTGTGCGGCTTAAGAAGTGAAACTAAACTGACCTAGAGAACTGACTGTTTCGAGATAACAGCTAGCTCTCCTGCAGCTGCCAGCATAGCTCCGCTAAAATTGACGCTTTTCCTGAAAGATCATCTGGCACAACGCAACCTTTGATACGACGAAAACGTCGTATCAAAGGTTGCGTTGTGCCAGATGATCTTTCCTCCGCTGGTGGTAAGACTGCAGGTAATTTTAAAAATCGTCGTTTTACAAAACCGGATACGATCTACAAAATAAGGTATACCCGGCGAACACTCCACTGGTGATTTAGTTCTTTTACATGACGACACGGTTCGTCCAAAGCATACGAACCAATGGAAAGGTCCGTTTAAGGTTGATGAAATCAACCGTCCTAACATAACTATTACCAACTTGTAGGTCGTCCTGGACGACATGTAGTTCACATATATCGCTTAAAATTGTACTCTCCGCGTGTTTGGAATGGAAACATCA